GAGATTACCGACTATGACAGCGATTTCGTCGAACTGAAATGGGATAAGCCAGAAAACGATGGTGGCTCTCCAATCACTGGCGATATTTCCAGTGGTAAGGTCAAGGACCTTATCGAAGGTACTCCATATGAATTCAGGATCAGAGCTGTAAATAAAGCCGGACTTGGCGAACCTAGCGACGCATCCAAGATCCATGTTGCTAGACCCAAAAACCGTAAGTTTATTTATTAAAAAAAATCGAAAAAACTTTACATAATTAATATGTGCTTTCTTACTTTTCAGTTCCCCCTAAAATCGACAGAAATGCCTTATTTGATCTTAAAGTTAAAGTGAGACAGTCAATCGAATTTAACGTCTCTGTTATCGGTGAACCACCACCAAGCACAGAATGGTTACATAAACATATGTATTATTCAACACGAACCGTGTGAAAATAACTAACGAAGATTACAAGACCCACATCAAGATTACAGATGCCCAAAGAGCAGACAGTGGTCCATATACCTTAACCGTTAAAAATATCAACGCAAAAGATACAACCACTGTAAATGTAACAGTTCTGGATGTTTCTACACCACCAGAAGGTTCTCTTAGAGCTGATAACGTTACTAAGTCATTGCTAACTCTTAGCTGGAAGCCACCAAAAGATGACGGTGGTTCTGAAATTTCCCATTACCAAGTTGAAAAACTCGACACTGAAAACATGAGATGGGTTCAACCAAACCAAACCAAACCTGTAGGTGATTCCGTTGGAACAACAATGAGAGTTCCAAATCTGACTGAAGGACACGATTACCAGTTCAGAGTTCGAGCAGTAAATAAACAGGGTGAATCAGCTCCACTCACCACCACTCAAAGTATTACAGCAAAAGATCCATTTACTAAACTTATTATAGTTATTAGTAAATTTATATATATATTTTTATTATTATTATTTTTTAATTTTAGGACATGGGAAGAAGCAGCTAGGGTTCCCGGAAACAGTACTAAGGGAACTGTTCCTAATCTAACTGAAGGAGAAGAATATGAATTGAACCCAGTGAGGCCTCAATTCCAGTTATTGCTAAGCCCAGATTTTTGGTTCCATCGTTTAATAAGAAATAGCTGTTTCTGATAGAGTAGGTCATGCTGTTTACAACAACAAAGTCTTATTTGACGTTTCGTCTGCAGTGAGGGCTGATGCCGGTAGATATACCTTAACTGTCAGAAACGACTTGGGAAGCTTTAGTGCTTCTGCACAAGTCACAGTATTAGATAAACCAGGACCACCACAACCACCATTAGATGTGGGCAGCGTTACTAGAGACAGTGCAAGAATTTCATGGAAACCACCACTTGATGACGGTGGTTCACCAATTCTTCATTACATCGTGGAGAAAATGGACGTTTCTCGTGGAACTTGGTCTGATGCTGGAATGGCTACAATCACTTCCCATGATATCACCCGATTAATTCACAAGAAATAATACTACTTCCGTGTTAAGGCTGTAAATGCAGTGGGTGAATCTGAACCACTCGAAACACCCAGGAGCATTATTGCCAAAAAAACGATTTTGGTAAGATTTAAAGCATTCATTTTACTTGTTATTCCGTTTTTTTAATTTCACATTTTTTTGTTACATATGAACCTAGTGCTCCAGGAAAACCGGCAGTTACTGATTGGGATAAAGGTCACGTAGATTTAGAATGGACACCACCAAAGAACGACGGTGGTTCTCCGATCACTGGTTATGTCGTACAAAGGAAAGAGAAGGGAAGTCCGTATTGGACCAATGCCGTCCATGTGCCAGCCAGGCCAGGAAGACTGGCTGCACCATCCCTGATCTAACAGAAGGCCAAGAATACGAATTTAGAGTTATCGCAACAAATACTGCTAGCCAGAGTGAACCATTGGAGCCCTCTGATATTGTGACAGCTAAAGCCACAATTTGTGAGTCTTAAAATGACATATATTAGAACGAAACTATTCAATTATATTATTTTCTAGTGGCACCGAAAATCAAGACACCGCTAAACGATATCCGTATTAAGGCTGGACTTATCTTACACATTGACATCGACTTCATTGGAGAACCATGCCCTGAAGTCACTGCTCAATTGTAACCTGAATGGGATATCATACCGTAATACATACGGTAAACGCTAAAAGATCGAATAGCGGTTTGTATCATATTTTGCTCAAGAATAATTCAGGTATAGATGAAGGTTCATTCCAAGTAACTGTTCTGGGTAAGTTACTGCTAACGATGGTAAGTTTTGGTTTTAATAAATTCGTTTAGATAGGCCGGGATCACCTCAAGAACCTTTGGAATATGAAGAAGTAACAGCTCAAAGTGCTACTCTTTCGTGGAAACCACCTAGAGATAACGGTGGAAGTGAAATTACGTAAGTTTCTATAATGTTCTAATATTTTAAATAATATATTTCGCTCTATCGTAGTGGATATGTAATTGAAAAACGTGATTTGACACATGGAGGAGGCTGCGTTCCAGCTGTTAACTACGTTAATCCCAAGTACAATCACGCTATTGTACCTAGACTACTGGAAGAAACCAAAAATATGAATTTAGAGTATTTGCTGAAAACTTGCAAGGAAGATCAGACCCTCTTGAAACTGAGAAACCAGTAGTAGTCAAAAATCAATGCGGTATCTTATTAAAAACACTGCTTGATCTGGCGTCACCAAGTCGCTCTGTGTTCATTTTTTTTGCGTTTTTCTCATGTTTCTGACAAAATTACCCACAAGTGTTCCATAATATAGTTATTTCCAATATAATTAAGCATAAACATGAACACAGGTGAAGGTTAATCTTCTAGCAGTGGACCAATTCAAACCCTGAACAGCTTATTTTCATTTAACAGCCCTGCAGTTAAAAAACTTTTGGGGTAGAAACAAGGTGACGAGGAGGAACAGTGGGCTACAAAAAGCAGTGGATAGTTTAGTGAAAAAGTTAAAAAAAAACGAAAAGGTGCAATAGACGATTTGGAAAGGGCCTTAAGCAGTGGACCAATTCAAACCCTGAACAACTTATTTTCATTTACCAGCCTTGCAGTTAAAAAACTTTTGGGTGGAAACAAGGTGACGAGGAGGAACAGTGGGCTGAAAAAGTAGTGGATAGTTTAGTGAAAATGTTAAAAAAACGAAAAGGTGCAATAGACGATTTGGAAAGGGCCTTAAGCAGTGCACCAATTCAAACCCTGAACAGCTTATTTTCATTTACCAGCCCTGCAGTTAAAAAACTTTTGGGTGGAAACAAGGTAACGAGGAGGAACAGTGGGCTGAAAAATCAGTGGATATTTTAGTGAAAAAGTTAAAAAAACGAAAAGGTGCAATAGACGATTTGAAAAGGGCCTTAAGCAGTGCACCAATTCAAACCCTGAACAGCTTATTTTCATTTACCAGCCCTGCAGTTAAAAAACTTTTGGGTAGAAACAAGGTGACGAGGAGGAACAGTGGGCTGAAAAAGCAGTGGATAGTTTAGTGAAAAAGTTAAAAAAACGAAAAGGTGCAATAGACGATTTGGAAAGGGCCTTAAGCAGTGCACCAATTCAAACCCTGAACAGCTTATTTTCATTTACCAGCCCTGCAGTTAAAAAACTTTGGGTGGAAACAAGGTGACGAGGAGGGACAGTGGGCTGAAAAAGCAGTGGATAGTTTAGTGAAAAAGTTAAAAAAACGAAAAGGTGCAATAGACGATTTGGAAAGGGCCTTAAGCAGTGCACCAATTCAAACCCTGAACAGCTTATTTTCATTTACCAGCCCTGCAGTTAAAAAACTTTTGGGTGGAAACAAGGTGACGAGGAGGAACAGTGGGCTGAAAAAGCAGTGGATAGTTTAGTGAAAAAGTTAAAAAAACGAAAAGGTGCAATAGACGATTTGGAAAGGGCCTTAAGCAGTGTACCAATTCAAACCCTGAACAGCTTATTTTCATTTACCAGCCCTGCAGTTAAAAAACTTTTGGGTGGAAACCAGGTGACGGGGAGGAACAGTGGGCTGAAAAAGCAGTGGATAGTTTAGTGAAAAAGTTAAAAAAAATGAAAAGGTGCAATAGACGATTTGGAAAGGGCCTTGTCCTGGGCAACCAAGCAAGTGCGTGACTATCCCTAGGAGTTTGAATGGCAGACTACAGGTTTCTCATAGGAAGGGGTTGCCCCATGTAATATAATGCCGTGTATGGAAGTGGCCTGATTTACAGAGCCATCACGAATTAAAACCTTTAGAAACAATATCCGTTTTCATCTGAACAGAAGGAAGTGTGCATTAATCCTTTTCATTATAAAAGGGTAGAGAATCCAGTCTTACCACCAGTCTTCGTACCACGTCATAATGATTTTGTACCAGGGCATTCGTTATTGCCATTCCAACAAATAGTCGAACCAAATATGCCTCATAATATGAAATATTCTTCAAATGGTTTTAATTCGGCCCACATGAGCCCTAGCTCTCCCATATCTAACGTATCTAGTCCAAGAAGTGTTATTTCAAATCCTCAATCTCCATATGCCAACTTGGCTGAAACACCTACACCTGCATATAGTCCAACAGATGCAAATGCGTCAACAACCAATAACAATCCCAGCCCAGAACCACCTCTAACACAAGATGTTCAAGCAGTGCCATACCAAGAACAACCATACTGGGCATCAAATGCTTACTATGAGCTCAATAGTAGAGTGGGTGAAGTTTTCCATTGTCACTGGATGGCTTTACCAATCCGAGCAACAATAGTGATCGGTTTTGTTTAGGGCAATTAAGCAATGTGAACAGAAACAGTACTATTGAAAATACAAGAAGACACATAGGAAAAGGTGTACACTTATTTTATGTTAATGGAGAAGTAGATGCAGAGTGTTTGTCAGATTCGCCAAGATTAAATAGACTGCACCCATAAGCAACGGTGGCTTACCTATTCTTGGCTATGACATCGAACGCCGTGATAGAGCTACCGGCAGATGGGTGAAACTTAACAAAGAGCCCGTAAGAAGTCAAGAATATTACGATGATCGTGTACAAGAAGGTCATCAGTACGAATACAGAGTATCGGCAGTAAATGCTGCAGGAAACGGCAAGCCTAGTGACGCCTCCAACGCATTTATTGCTAAACCAATGAAGGGTATATTATATTATTTCCCAAGATATATTCAGGTGTGTAACTATGATTTTGTTTTTGAGAAAAACCGAAGTTGTGGTTCGATGGAATTATTGGAAGAAAAATCAAAGTCCGTGCTGAAGAACCGATCAATATTGATATCCCACTTTCAGGTGCACCAGGAAGTTGAATTTTTCAGCACACCGAAAGTTGAATAGATTAAAAATAAATTGCAAGTTCCTGAAAGCAGCAGAGTATATGTAAGTTCACTTAAAACCATCTCTTTTTACGCTTTACCTATCAATGACACTGTCTATACCGTTCCACGGCTTAACGAAAGAGAAGAATACCAATATAGAGTTATTGCTGTTAACGATGTAGGAAATTCTGAACCTAGTAGCTAAAAAAGTAGTGGGATTTCAACAGGAAGGTTTACAGGAAGAGGTGTGTATCATTCTTCTACCCATTTTTTATATAATTTGTTACAGTAATTCTGCATATCCAGTTATTTTTTTTAGGTGAAGCATTTCAGTTTGTCAGTTTTGTTCCTATTGGGAGTCGACTTTATGAATTGGATGGTTTGAAACCATTTCCTATAGATCATGGCCCCTGTAGTGATCAAGACTGGACAGATAAATTTAGAAATGTAATTCAGGATAGATTAGGAATCACAGATGATGAATATAATGAAATAAGATTTAATTTAATGGCTGTAGTTTCTGATAGGCGTTTAGCTATTCAACACAAATTGAAAATGCTTAGAACAAATAAACAAAGAGTAGTAGATGCTTTACAGCAAATAGTCAAAGTTAAAGATAAGGGAGGTGGAAAAATTGAAAATGTTCCCGAGAATTTGAGCTCAAGGATAGTGAAAAATGAAGTGGCTGGAAAAACCGAGGAAGATACAAAAATAACTGGCTGATTTGGTTGAACAAAACTTAATTATTCCTAGCAATAAATTTCACAATATTTTAAATATTTTTTTATAACAATATAATCCAGGGATTAAGAAAATGGATACAGATAAGGCGCCATTAAACAGAGTGTGTAAAATTAACCTTTTTCTACTGTTTTCAATTAAAAATTCTATTTCTTCAGGCACATCAGCTCGAACGCAAGGCTGAAACGTTGAACCGCCAGAAAAAATACGATGCGGCGATCGAATGCCACAAAGAGGCCGCGGAATTGTTCAAAAAATGCCTGGGTAACGGCAGCAACAAAACCATTAACGAATCTATAGGGCTGCAAAAAGAATAGAACGAAAGACACATCCGCTTACTCGAGCTCAAGAAAGCTTACATGGAGAAAATGGAAAAAGAAAAGAAGTTCGGTAGCGTAAATTCTTTGAAAACGTCGCAAAAAGACGTGGACACATTGGAGACAAAGATTTTCAGAGCCATGGAAACACATGATTCTTTAATATCATATCTAACTCACAGGGATAATATTACTGATAAAATTCAGTGTACTATACAGGAAGAAGACGAGGATTCACAGCATATTATCTGAAATAAACATCCTAAGGATGAATCAACTGTAATTGAAAAGCTGAAATTGTTGAGTGGTTAACTGAGAGAATCAGTGCATGGTAAGTTTATATTTTGAATATACCTGTATTTAGTTTCACGTTTAAAATGATGTTTTAGGACTTTTAATACAGTTAGACGATAGAAATAAGGAAATTGAATCGCTCAAGTCACGTATCTACCAGCTGGAATTCGAGAAATCCACTAAAGAAGGTTGGTTTTAGAATTTTTAAACAGACCTCCCAACACTGGTATACCTACATCTAAAAGTCTTAAAGTTAACAAAAAAGAAATAAACAATACCTCTAAAAAGAAGAAAAAGGCAGAGCTAAAGTCAGAAGACGTAGATAATTAATATGTATATTTCAGATGTTAGTCAATTGTATACATTAAGTCATTTGTTTCTATAGACTGGAATAAGAAATATTTAGAGAACCCTTTTGTAGAACTCAAAATAATTATGTTTTAAAACACATATTATACGTTGGTGGCTTAGAGGGGATATTCATTAAATCAATACTATCACTTTTAAACCATTTTTTTCAATATCTGTTAATTATTTTTCCTTGGAATAAAGAGTTTGGTCAATATTGAACTTGCCTGTGCACATAACTCCCATGCTATGCCTCAAGCTAAAAGGAGATTAGAAAAAAGTGGTGGGATTTCAACAGGAAAGTTTACAGGAAGAGGTGTGTATCATTCTTCTACCCATTTTTTTATATTATAATTTGTTACAGTAATTCTGCATATCCAGTTATTTTTTAGGTGAAGCATTTCACAATCTCGGACAAAGAAATTGAAGGAATGGTGCCTCAGCTGCTGCACAGGCTGGTCAGCCTGACAGTGCAATTGAACATTCTGATTACAGAGCAAAATTGTCTCAAATCAGAAAAATCTATCACCAGGAGTTGGAAAAATACGAGTAGGTAAAATATTTAATATATAACTTTGTAAATTTGTGTAATAAAATTATTTATTAGGGTTGTAATGAATTTACCACCCACGTGATGAATTTACTGAGAGAACAATCACGGACAAAGGAATTGAAAGAATGGTGCCTCAGCTGCTGCACAGGCTGGTCAGCCTGACAATGCAATTGAACATTCTGATTACAGAGCAAAATTGTCTCAAATCGGACAAATCTATTACCAGGAGTTGGAAAAATACGAGCAGGTAAAATATTTAATATATAACTTTGTAAATTTGTGTAATAAAATTATTTATTAGGGTTGTAATGAATTTACCACCCACGTGATGAATTTACTGAGAGAACAATTACGGACAAAGGAATTGACAGAATGGTGCCTCAGCTGCTGCACAGGCTGGTCAGCCTGACAATGCAATTGAACATTCTGATTACAGAGCAAAATTGTCTCAAATCAGACAAATCTATCACCAGGAGTTGGAAAAATACGAGCAGGTAAAATATTTAATGTATAACTTTGTAAATTTGTGTAATAAAATTATTTATTAGGCTTATAATGAATTTACCACCGACGTGATGAATTTACTGAGAGAACAATCACGAACAAAGGAATTGAAAGAATGGTACCGCAGCTGCTGCACAGGCTGGTCAGCCTGACAATGCAATTGAACATTCTGATTGCAGAGCAAAATAGTTTCAAATCAGACAAATCTATCACCAGGGGTTGGAAAAATACGAGCAGGTAAAATATTTAATATTCTTACGGATTCCGTGGGTCCACTAATTGAAACTCACGATGAAATACTTAACGAATTTATTATCTCACTCTGTACACACAATTTATACTGATTATAAAACACAATTTATGCAACTACTATTACTCTAACTGTTCTGGCACCTTGGCCAATTATCTCACGATTTAAAACGCGGTATTATCAAACTTCAAACTGGTCCAACTGCCAAGCGCGGGCTTTATATACTCTCTGGTGAATGCGCCATTTTTCTTGACACGTGGCGGTAAGGTAGGCAACCAGTAATACAGTTTAGCGCTACACACACCTTGACATTGCCCCCTTCTCAAATTTGATCGTCCCGATCAAGGTTTCCTGTCTGGTATCTCTTCATTCGATCCAGATGAACTACTTTCAACTTACTTCTAGGGCTGCGTTGAATCCGGTACACAACATCATTTATCCTCTTGATGACTGTATAAGGACCTTCCCACGCTGGAGTTAACTTTGGAAATCTTCCTTTCTTGCGCTGCGGGTTATATAACCATACCATATCGCCCTGTTGAAATCCAGTAGAATTAATCTCTCCTTCCTAGGGCTACTTTCGAACACAGGGGAACTGTTTACATTTTATGCGAATGCCAACATACTATTGTTATTGTTTGCTATGTTGCCAAGTCTACCGAAGCTTTGTCAAAGCCTGTGTTTATTTTTAATTTTGTATACGTATACTTTGGGGAAATCTTAAGAAACTAATAATATAATTAGCTTACTACGTTTGAAAATGTCGATATTTATAATTTTATTTAGTACTTAATAAGATTCAAGTAAAAAATTATAAGAAATATTTGTAAATTTCGTCATTTTTACATCAACCGTTAGGATTAATTTTTAATCTGGCAACGCCGCTCTGTTGTTATAGTATTTTCTATAGTAGGGGAATTAGTAGGACTTGGTCAACAAGTGGTCAACAGTGTCAATAAACAGCTGATTGGTACGATCAGCTGTCTGCGGTGCTTTTATTTTCCCATATTTCTTAACTATTAATAAACTATTAGTGTATAATTGTTTCATTTTATATAAAGGGCCAAAATTAGCATTTAAAATGGGTGTACACTGGGAAAGGTGTAAGAATTAAAAAAATTAAACATCGTGGAGTGTCATTTCTAAAGTAAGTACTGTTCTGTGGTAATGCAGCATCTCCTTTTATTTACCTATTTGTTAATATTTGTTTTATAATATAATATGTTATGTATATTATAAGAAGTAATGTTTATATTTTTGTTACAATATTGTCCGAATTAAAATCGTATAGTTGTATTTAATTATGAATACAAATAATTGGTATGTTTACATAAATTATAATTGGTATGTTTACATTAATAAAAAAATAAAGCCTATTTACGTTTTGTATGACTAAGATAAATATTTTATTTCAGATTTCGGTATACCCAGATTTCTAAAAGATAGTGAGAGAAAAATTAAATGGTTTTCCTGTTAGGATTTATTCATAGCATGATATTAAAAAGTCGAGGAAAAAAGAGCTCAAAAACAGCTGATTATAAGGAACTGAAGAAAATATTAAGAAACTGATGAATTTTCACAGCCATTTATGTCGCGATTTATGGTGTTTCAACTGTTTTAATATCACCTAGGAAATTAACATTAAGTTATTATCATAGATATTATGATCCTGCAGATAACTAGATAAGAAATATGATCTTGTTAGCATACCTATTCCGTCATAATATGTAATTACATATATATTTACAGTTTATTTTTTTAATATAAAATATTACAGTTCGTCTGCTGGATCTGTATCCATGAAAGGAATGCGGACAAAAAACATTTAAATAAACAGCAATATATTTTATACGTCAACTTGACGAGTACGTCACCGCAAATCGCTCCGCCCACTTATTTTATTGGCTACTTGCAAATTTGTCGAATTTTTATTGATGGGACGCGTCGTCTAATTTTTTACGAAAAACATCGAGAGAATATCGTTTCCTCTCTCACGGATACCCCGTAGCCACAGAACGGATAGACGTACTGGTACTATATACTAATATCTATACACAGATTCAAAGTGTACAGAGTGGTGCCTTTCATATGATACGAAGGTTTCAAAGATTTTTGTTGTTGGAAGTTTGTATTGAAATTAAATTTTGAGAACATATGGAGGGTTCAGAAGTCAATCAAGTTAAGGGTGGCTACAACGACGTCCCGTAATCCTGCGGTTAAAACATATCAGCTGGTTTTTATATATAAACACCAATTGTTTTGTTTTAACAGCAGGATTACGGGACGTCGTTGCAACCACCCTAAGTCATACAAATTCACTTTCATTTCCCTTGAAGCCTTCGCGTCCTATGAGAGGCGCCACCCTATATATAGATTTGTATATATTATATTAATATTATTTTACTAAAATTACACAATAGTTGTATAAGATCTCACCATCGAAAAAAAAGCGTCACGGTTGGCTTTGAAAGCAAGATTTATGTCATTTTATTAAATGTAAATTTATATGGTGAATGTCATTGATTGTCAATTTTATTTTTATTTTGCTCACAATGTATACTCAATGTAGATATTTATATTCACCAACTGTTTATATTTTGTTTTAGGAAGTGAAAATATTCATGGTGGAATGGAAGTCGTTACTTTAATTACATAGTGCATATGAAATTGGTCCTTTACATCACATTTAAAATCGATGTAATGCTACTATGCAAAATAGTGAGAGATGTGAACCCTAGGGAGAGCTCCAGAAATACTTTCGTTGAGAGACAAGTTATGTTAGTGATTAGAATCGCATATTCTAGACTTTTACTTGTTTGTATATAAAAATCGATATATTTTTGAGTTTTTGCCTATTTAATTAGGCATGGAATTTAATTGCCTAAGTCATATTTAATATCGGGTAGATATAATATCACATACCTACAAAGAAATGACACTTAATATTATAAATATCTACAATAATAATATATCAGAGAATTTAAAAAGAAAATCAGTTTCTATTTCATGTTTTCATTATTAACTTTTGGTTAAGATAATTATGCTTCAGCTCTACACTTTGTAAAATATTATAATATTGTACTTTTTGCAACAGATATTTCGATAATTCGACAACATTATCAAAAAAAATCGGCGTCAGCCATGGCTATGAAATGAAGATCGCTGTTATTTTATATGTAAAATTATATGGGGACTGTCATCGATCGTCATTTCCAAGCCAAATGGACGCCGTTTTTTTTTGATCATACAGTATTTATGTCTTATTATTTATATTTTATAAAACTAGAAATTTATTATGTATACTAATTAATGTAATATTTAATAATTATGTAATAAGTTAGTAGTTATTAATAGCAATAAGTTAATAAACCATACGATCGAAAAAAAACGGCGTCAAAGGCGACAGGGGAATGAAAATATGATAATTTCAGCGAGGTCAAGCCCTAGACGTCATTTTCTTGGCTTTAGTTTTTGGCTGGTACTATTTTTAAAGGCGCTCTAAGATTGTAGTTTATTTTTATATTAAATAAAAATTATTTTTAAATGGTGTAGTTTAAGATTGATCTCGCTAAATTATCAATCGTCATTCCCCAGCTGTCTTTCACGCCGTTTTTTTTAGATTATTTGCTATAACTATGTTATTTGTTATGCAAATATGTTAACATAAAAAGCCAATGAGAAACTGGTTTCTGCTTGAATCCTTACAGTGGCATTTAACTTAAATGTAGTAAGAATATTATTATATATTTTTTACTTAGTCCCTAAATATATTATTAAAATACAACACTTGTTTTTTTATTAATATCGTGTTATGATTAATACCTAATTAATGTAAAATTATATGGCATGTAAATATCCTTACGTTGAGAATTCGTTTGGTCAAAATATTAGTCATAACAAGAATTTATTTTGTCATGAGTTTTTAGCCCAGAATCATATAAAATAAATGAATTTTAAAACTAGAGAACATTGTTTTTTTTAGTTTTTGTGCTAATATTTCCAATTAAAATTACCGAATATATTTTACTGTATAGGTAACCTATCGTTGTTTATTATGGTATAACTGCTCTGAAAGCTCCATGCTAACAGAAAAGATGAATTTTGTGCTTTTTAATTATACATTATATTAATTATATTATTAATGTAAATAATGTCTACTGATATTCACTATAAAAATTAGTTGTTCACATGTATCTACTTTTCTTTTGTAATTAATATTATCAAAATAACAAAACATCTTATATAATAGATCCATTAACATTTTAGTTTATCAATCACTATACGATAATGCGTATAATATCTTTTAATTATATCTAACTTTTAATTATTGAATATTTAATAAACACATTTTTTTATAGTGTTTGTTAAATATTTTATAGCATATATTATGTGTTATAATAAGTTGTAAGTTTGTTATAATAATTAAGTTTATAATAATCTATTAGTTTTATTGGATGAACACATTTTTAAAATTTATTATCAAAAAAATATTTTATCTATGCCTCTAACCACCTACTTCTATATCTCTGGCTTTTACCAGCTTTTACTCATCAATGAAATCTCAAGGATAAATTTTGTTTTGATGCTCTTCTGCTTCGAACTCCCGTACCACTTCCCTCTTTACCTCGCTGTCCATAAACTAGGGTAGTGGGGGCACTAACCGATAAAACGATCTAGGCACCTCGATTTTGTGAATTTATGAATGACTTGCTCTATCTATTTTTATTGTTAATCTAAGCTTTCGAATGACAGTCCAAACGCTATCCTGTTTCATTTCTCCGCTAGATCGAGTACTTGGTCCTTGTCTAGCTGCGCAAATCTCACAACTTTGACACCATTTCCTAACATCTTCGCAATAATCCACCCAGTAAAAACGGTATCTTAGCTTGCTCAAGGTCTTGT